TTCCCCAATTCAGCTGCTGGTCAGTTTCAGCAGCAGCTGAATGGGGGAAGCCTGTCCAGCTGAATGGGGAAAGCCTGTCCGGTGCCGGACCATCAGGAGTCCCGGAGCATTGGATGCCAGACTAATGGAGTTTTACTGTAATTAGGGCTTTAGTATATTTTTTTATTAGAATAACTTTACTGTTAAACTTTTTTTTAAATACACATTTGAAAAGCTTTGGACATAAATTAAAGCATTCCTCTCAGGAGTTAGTTGGGAAGGTATATTGTGTGTGTGAATTTAATGAATGTTTTGTATATGTCTGCTACAGTTGATAACTAGGGTCACTAGATGGTTTCAACAAAAGTACCGGACGCACTTGACATTACATCACAATCAACATTACATCTTATTTAGAAAATATGGGACATTTATATTTTCTCAATTTGTTTCCTGAACAGAAAGCTCAAATACTGGACTGTCCGGTTCAAAACCGGACACCTGGCAACCCTATTGATAACAATAGTGTACTACACTAAGCAATATTTTATCCTCTCAAGGCTTGTATGTAGCTCTCATTAACACTAACTGATGGTAAACTAGACGTCTTAATTATCACTCACTGCTAGGGTTGCCAACTGTCTAATTGCACAAAACTGAACACCATTGCCCTGCCCCCGCTCCACCCTTTCTCCGAGTCCCTGCCTCCTGCTAACTCCATCCACCCTCCCTTTGTTGCTTGCTGTACTCCATCCTCACTCGCTCGCTCATTTTCACCAGCCTGGGGCTGGGATTTGGGGTGTGGGAAAGCATGAGGGGTGTGGGTTCTGGAATTAGGCCAGAAATGAATGAGAGGTTCATGGAGCTGGGGTTCGGGATTGTGGGTTCGGGGGGGTGGAGATAGGTCCCAGAATCTGACATGTCTCTTGGATCTTAGGTGAAGGCGCAGCAGGTGGCTCTGCATGCTGTCTTGGCCTGCAGACTCTGCCCCTACAGCTCCCATTGGCTGTGATTCCCAGCCATGGGAGCTGCAGAGCTAGTGCTTGAAGCAGGGGCAGTGTGCAGAGCTCCCTTTGCCCTGACTCTGCCTAGGAGCTGAGGGACAAGTCACGTGGTGACAGGTAGACAGCTTGCCAGCCCTGCCAATTGTACATTTAATGGCCTGGTCAGCAGTGCTGACCGGAGCTACCAGGGTCCCTTTTCAACCAGGTGTTCTTGTCAGAAACCTGATACCCAACAACCCTACTCATAGCTACGCTATTTATTGAAAGCACTGTAGAAATGTGATACTAACATGCAAAACAGTAAGAAACATCCTAAAATCGCAGCAAAAGTGTAATAGAAGAAAACCAAAAAGAATGATAAGACTTAATTATTTTCACACATATACATCCGAGTATTAACATGTATTTAAAAAATAACCTCTGTTATCTAAAAAGCACATTGTATACCAGACTTCAGTAATCCAGATGGCTGAGGCTAGCATACAATCATGTGCAGCAGGTGGCTACAGGCTGAAGCATTTCAAGGCAGAAGTCCTTCTCTATCCCTGTAGACAGGAAGAAGTTTAGTTCCTTTTAACTGTGTTTGTTTAGCGCCCTCACCCCAATTTGGCCTGAAAACCCTGGGACAGCCTGTGCGATCCTTTAGCCTAGTGATTGAGGCACCTTATCACTGTCATTTCATTTGCTCTTCTGTTGCCGTTGTCCAGCTGATCCTCTTCAGAAAATGAACCAATAGTTTATCGAATGTTTAACTCACTCCATTCTACTGCAGTCCCACAGTGCTATACTTGCAGACGAGTCACACTTAAGTATGTGCCAAGTGATGCTGCTCCCCCTCTTCAGACATGAATCGTCCACCCCAGTAAATGCTAGTCCCCAAAAATGTCAGTGCTAAGGGGAGAAAATGCATTTGTATTTGCTGTGCTGCCGAAAAGCGCCATATGCACCAGTGGTGAATGGCGTAATAGCTAGTCCAAGTGCCACTCTCCGCATATCTGGTTTTTTTCTTAGTTCTGTGGTTCCCCATCAGGGAAATGTCCTTCCCTTTAGGCAAAGGAAGCCTGACTCAAGTTATCCTTTGCCTAGTTCTCATCCTGGATCCCAATCCTTCATCAGGGAAAATAAGCAGCATTTATGCAGGTATGTCAATGGTTGGTCCTGGGCAAGTAAGAATTGCCTTGCTAAATCAGGTTTAGCTGGATATCCTGTGTCCTGCAGTAACCAGTACTGGATACTTTAAAAGAAGGTGCAGGTAACCCTCTAATGGAATAACCTGCCCATGGAAGGATTGCCTTCTTTTTTTAAATCCTCATAAATTAGAATCACAGACATATCGGACAGTAAGGCACTTCAGTAAGTCACCTGGTCCAGCCCCATGTATCAAGGCAGGACTAAGTATTATCTAGACCATCCTTGACAGATGTTTGGCTAAACTGGTTTTTAAAAACCTCCAGTGACAGTCCACAAACTTACTAGATAATTTGTTCCAGGTATTTAACTAGCTTTCCAGCTAGGAAGCTTTTCCTAATGGCTAACCTAAACCTTGCTTAAAAAAAAGTCTGCCTCTACTTCAATTAACTAACTATATACCACAAATCAAGCACAAATTATCTTACTGTATAGTAGCTTTATTTGAAATAGAGATTGATATTTGGTCATATGGCTAGGGTAGCCAACCCTCCTGGTTTTGCTGTGAGACTCCCAGAATCAGGCTCTGTCACCCGGAGGCTACAGAAGCCAAACCAGGAGATTTCATGCTGCAAATGGCGCAGTGGGGAAAAGGTAGACCCCCTGCTTGCTCTGTCTCTGTGCTGCTCCTAGAAGCAGCTGGTATGTCCCTGCAGCCTGGGGAGGGTGTGGAGAGGGAGACACAGGTCTCCAAGCTCTATCCTCCCCCAATACCATCTCAACTGCTGACGACCAGAAACTATGGCCAGTGGTGAGAGCAGCCATGGAACTCCCTGGTCTGCTCCCCAGGGGCTTCTGGGAGTGGCACAGGGCCAGGGCAGGTAGGGGACCTTCTTAAGCCCCACTTCACTGCCAGCTGGGAGCCATCCAAAGTAATCACAACCTAACTGGAGCCTGTACTCCTTATCCCCTTCTGCACTCCAACCTCCTACCCCAGCCCGGTGCAAGTGAGCAAGAATGGGGGACAGAAATGACGGGGGTGGGGAGGACGGAGGAAGAGTGGGCAGGGCCTTGGAAAGAGGGTGAGGCAAAAGTGTTTGGGTTTGTGTGATTAGACATTTGGCAACCCTTTATACAGAGATCCTTAAAACATGACTGTTTAAAACACTTCCAATGACTGTTGAAAACCTCCAAAACTGTGCATAAGTTCTGTTTTGTTAAACAGAAATATGGTGATTGTTAGTTTGACTTTTTGGTGGTATTTTAAAGAGACAATGTTAAATTTTAAGGCTCCCAAATTAACTTTTAAAATTTTGGTTTTGGATAGTCCATGTAACTCTGTAAGGCTTTTTTCCCTCCATATAGGATTTATTCATTCTTGTACTATAGATTGAACCGAGAAATTATAAATATCTCTAACCCAGCATTCATGAACCCAGCAGTTGTAAATTCCTATGAGCATAGGCTGGAAGATGAATCACTGTGGATTAAGGATGCGGTTCTTAGTTACAATCTTCCAGGAATTTGTGATGCATCACTTTTTAAGTTAAAGAAAAAATCTTGGGTGTGTCTGTAAATAATTTGTTTATATCTGATAGTAATAGTAATGTAGCCGTGTTAGTCTGGTGTAGCTGAAGTAAAATGCAGGACTATGTAGCACTTTAAAGACTAACAAGATGGTTTATTAGATGATGTTTGATCTATTTGATCTCAGGAAGTGGGTCTGGCCCACGAAAACTCATCATCTAATAAACCATCTTGTTAGTCTTTAAAGTGCTACATAGTCCTGCATTTTGCTTTATATCTGATTGTTTTCTAGAAAAACTGGCTTTTTTAAAGGACCTACACATGCTTTTCTTGTACTGTATATACCCTGTAACTATATTTATAGACCTACTGTGTAATAAGTCAAGTATATGCCAAAATTCTTGAGGGAGGCTGAAATGAAAAATTTTTAAATTTCACATTTGTTATTTATTCTGTGCAGCAATACTTAATTGAAAAAAATGCTTTCAAAATCAGTACAAAAATCTGTAAGGTCTTAAGTCGCTGATAACATGCAGATGGACTTTAACTACATTTCTACACAATGAATTCAGAAATCACTTTTTTCTTTACATGCTAGCCAGGGCTAGAGTTAAAGTTTAGGGTTTTTTATGTAATAGATGACGTAAAATGAGTGCAGAGAGCTGAGTTCTTTAGTGCAGTGGGTTCTCAAAGTTTGGTCCCTGGACCACTAGTGGTCCATGTTCGCCTCCCAGGTGGTCCATGATTTGAGCTCAGCTCTGAACCCAAAAAATGTTCCCCACCCTTGCCATAAATAAAGAAAACATTTAAACCTTTTTTGTTGGACATTAAATACAGTAAAATATTCATTTAAATGAAGTTTGATAAACTAACAGGAGAAAGTTAAAACTCGATGACCTTTCAAGGTCCCTTCCAGTTCTAGTGTTCTATGATTCAATGAAAACCCTTAATCTGTTTAATTTTAAATTTAAGTATTTCGCTAGCCACATCACTAGCAAAATGGCTTGGGCATAATTATGTAATTAACAGTCACTTTGCATTAGCAGCTGGTGGTATGTGGAAAGATTTGCCAGGTGTCCATGGGCCAAAAAGTTTGAGAACCACTGCTTTTGTGGTATACATGCAGCCGTCTACAGCTCTTGTAGGAGAAAGAGAAGCCTGAATTCAGGCCCTGGCAGGTTTTAAAAAGTAAATCTATTGTTGGAAAGCTCAGTGTGGTGCTAATATCAGATCTTAAAAAGAAAAAAAACACATTTCTTTCTTTGCAAGAGTGGTGGTGTCTGACCTGAGGGTTGAACATATTTCAAGTCTGGGATTACAATCAGTATTTTGGCAGAAATTCTTTGTTCTGTTTTTGTGCCTCGGGTTTCACAAAGGGCACTGAGAATGGGTTTAGCTCTTGCTACAGATATCCTGGGTGCAGGGGAATCCCTGGGAGCCATAGAGTTGCTGTATTCCAAGAACTGCAGGATAGGTCATGTCAAGGATTGACATTGGGGTGTATTGGCTGGAGGGAGGGAATGGGGAGAATCACTGTACAGTGGCATGCTCCAGCTGGGCTCAGCTGGCAAATGGTCCCTTAGAAACGGTAGCCAGCTGGCACAAGTTAAAGCTGCTACTCTCTCCTCTGCCCTGCATTTGAGCAGCTGCCCTGTGAAGGCGTCACATACAAAAGGGAAAGGACTGCAGCTGCCAAGTATATTCCTGACTCAGACCAGACTACTTGTGGGGCAGCCGCAGAAGTGATGGGAGTCAGTTGACAAGATGATGTCCCTTGTGTGCCTCCAATGGAGCAGAGGTCCCCAAACTGAGGGGCATAGAGAAACATTTAAGGAGGTACAGCAGGATCCCTGCCAGCTCTGCTGTGGCCCTAGTACCTTGCCTTGCCCCAGCCTTCCCCGCTGGGCCTGCCCTCAACCTAGCCTCCTTTCCTGGCCCCAGATCTGTCATTTGCTCAACTGCAACCTCACCCCTGTCCATGTGTTGTGTCCCTCCCCCGCCCTCCAAGGTGCAGTCCCAGCACCAAGCACGGAGTTTGGGGGATGGACAAGGGTAAGGGAGTCACAATCCCTGAAAATTTGAGGACCACTGATGTAGAGACAGGTAATTCAAACATATTTCAAAATGCAGGGCCTGGTTCAGAGAAAACATTTTCCATTTATAATTAAATAAAAATTGTGTTCACCCTCCCCAGCCACAAGGTTGGACACCACTGTTCTAAAACATTTCACTTAACCATTCAATATTAATTGCTTTTGTGGCACTGTCTGTGATCTTTTAATAGATGGTGTTTCATGCGTATTCACATTTACTTAGAAAGTAGGGAGGCTAGAAGTTGACCTTGAAAACAAACAAAGAGTACAAAGTAAATACCCTTATATTGGATCAAAGGTGCAGAAAATCATTCTGAGGCTATCATTTAAATTAATTGTGAAATATACTATATTTGAAATTGAATGAATTTCGTGTTAGAAACCTGCACTTACTATGTATTTGGTTTTGTTATGCGCTTGCATGTTTAAAATGCAGCTGTACTCCCATAACTGACTCTATAAAAATTGCATTCTGGGCTACCTGGGTGGTTTGCCTCAGTGGCTGCAGATTAATCAGGTCAGGAACTTTTTTTTTTTTTTTTTTTTTTGAAAGGAGGATTTTTTTGTTTACTTGCTAGCCTAGCAAATTCAACCTGGGAAAGTAAAACCAGGTTTTTCTGGCTAGTATGTGATCACCAGGCATTGACCGATTCTGTAGATCAAATTCTTTCTTCAGTTGCAAGAATACAGCCTTTATGAGCTTGATTCTCTACTCTGATAAATCAGCATTATATCTCTAACTCTCCAAGTGGTGCCTCTCCTCCCAGTTTATACTGGTCTACATGAAAGGAGGAATCAGGCCCATTGTTGTCCGTGGAGTTGTGGTAGTTGGAATGTAGAGATTTTTGTTAATTCAGGGACTAAAATAGAGAATCCATTTCATTCTCTCAGAAATTAATCACACATTCTTAGACATTGGCTTTCTGGAACTAAAAGGGGGCTGACTAAAAGAGAGATTTCTTTAAGGCTTGTCCATGGTAGCTGGGTTGTAAATTCTAGAGCACTGTAGCATCTATCACATTTAGTAGCCCATGTGGATCCTGCTGATGCTCACTATAAATTTCTTAGTGTATGTTAATTAGTCCCGCTGCAAGCAGTACTAAGTTAATACGCAGTAGGGAACTTTTAGTGTGTGCTAGCAAAGTGCATATAGACTAGTTTGTGTGTTATGCCTCAGTTAGCATTGGCTAAGGTACCATGTAGGCAGGCCCTTAGTCACTAAAGAATCAGTACATACAGAACAGTTGTGCTGAGTCAGAAGATGCCATTTGTACACAGTCACTTTTTGGGAAAGAGACTCATTTTCAGACTAGCTGCAGGAAACCCCAAATAAATGCAACAAGCAGTTAATCAAAAGTAACCTTTAAGGTACCTGTTGTTTGCCTGTTTGACCGGTGTGCGAGAGCAGTTTGTTCCAGATCATCGAACTTTCCACCCGGTGAGGTACCAGAACTTTCATTCCTCTCACAATGTCCCTTCCATAACTGAACAGCGCATGTGCCTCCCTGTGGGGGCAAGGTAACTCCATCAAATGTTGCAAAATAGTCCTAAGGCTTGCTTTTCAATAGTCGTGCTTTAAATTCTGGAAGGAATAAAATGAAACCCTTACGAAAATGATGGACTTGCCTTACCACTGTGGGGAAGTTCTAATGCTGTTTAGGAATGGAGGGGATATCTCAAGCATCATGGATGCTGGGCTGTCTTAAGCGGTTTATAGGGCGATCTAATGGACCAGGGAAACTAGGATATTCCAGCTTAACTAACTTCTGATCACCATGTCCTCGTACTACTGAGAGAGGCACCCAGTAGCTGTCCTTTAAAGTTACTAACTTGTTTAATGTTTGCAGGTTGCCTTTAAGATTCCTGCACACTATTCATTGCACAAACATACTAAATTTTGGTTTTGCTCATGCCAATACAAGGACACACTGATTGAGATTGATAATCGCATTGTGGCATGGTTTGTCTTTTCCTGATGATAGATGTGCCATACCCAGGATAACACAAGTGTTTTATGAGAACTGAAGAAATAACATTTGGCTAACATGAACTGACATTTTTGCTACAAAATCTGTTTTTAAAAAAGAAAATATATGCTTGCAGTATTTTTGAGTAATATTTGCCTGATCTGACCATTCATTTTAGTGATGATAATACTAATGAAAAGAGAAATGATACCCCTTTTTAAATTTTACTTTGAAGCTCAGTGTTTTTACTTTTAGTTGCCTACCACCTCCCTCCCTTCTCCCTCCCTTCTCTGTTCAAATGGAGAGGATATAAGGAGAGTACAGATGCTACATGTCTTAAACGAAAGCGTTCCCAAGGTACAGTAACTGTAGATTTTTTTTCTTGTAGTTTCCTTCTAGCTTAGGAAGCTTTAAATTATAGCTTGTATATTCCAGTGAAATGTGTTAGATTTCTGTGCATCCATTTCTTCTACCACACCTATGTCATCTTCCCTCAGAAAGGGAGGAAAAATATTTGGACTATTCATAGAAAAGTAGAAGCATTGTGACTCTTAGAGAAAAGTAGAAACTAACTATATTTGTGCTAGCACTTTGTTATAATGTTTGTGACAGTCATGAAAAATATAAACATTTGCAGCATTGTTGGTGTATATAGTGCTTTTTACTCATTAAGACAGAGTCACTGCACCAAAGAGCTTAGTCACAATTGGATGAAACCTAGAGATGAATTATGTCAGAAAAAATAGGAGCTAAAGAAAATAAAGGTGGACATTAGATAGGATTGCTTTTTTGTATAATATGCATCATGTTTTTCTCATTTTCTTTAAATCATTGTAAATTGCTTTGATGCTTTAAAATATAGGTTTCTCTGTAGGTTTTTTAACTTCATTGCACTGTGTGAATTTTTCCCTTTTATTTAAATATTTTGCAATGAGAGTCAGCACTGACATGAAGTGAGGCTTCTGGCAATTGAAAGAGAAGGGGGATGCTGTTGCTCTAGGGATCAGGAAATTATTCCTCAGAAAAAGAAACTTGGACTTCAACTAATTGAACCCCCATGAGGTAAAATGAATGCACTTCATAAACAGGATGGGTCCTTGAAAACTGTACTGATTAGGGATAGGTTTTCAAGTCCCGTTCAGCATTGGCCCAGCTCTGTTCCCTTTTAAGCCAATGGTAAACTTCAGACGACTGCATGGGGAGAAGAATTAGCCTTATACTTGTTGATTTTGAAAAGCTGCCCTAAAACCTACAATTTAAATGTGGATGGTACTGTAAAGTTATTGTTGTTTTCTGCATGACCTGGACATAGAAGTGTTTAAGTATGTCTGACCCAAGAGACTATCATTTGTCACATAAAATATTGCAAAATCTAACTTCTTTAATGGCATTTTTCCTTAAGTCCAAAATGCAAATCTATGAAAGCAAACTGTTAATATTTAGCTCTCATATACTACTCTTTATTGATAGAACTCAAAAGCCCTTTACAGAGTTCAACAAGGATTCCCATATATGGGGATAAGAGTTGACCTTTCTAACTTCACAAAGTCTTTTGGGATTACTTGCAGTATGTAAAGTAAAGCATGAGTAAATCTTTGTTGGACTGGGTCCCTAATCATTTAATAGTTGTACTTTTGTCCTGAATTTTTAACCTGTGTACTAGAAATAGTGCTAATAGTAAAACTGAGTTTACCCAAACATGTGCCATTGTAATCTTCAACAGATACTAATTAAAAGTTGCTGTTAAAGTGGCATGTTATGACACTAACAAATTGATATGCTGAGGAATAAAATGAGGTACAATATAAATATGAGAACAATGTAGAACAGCCCAATTTACTTAAGAATGATAGTCTTTTTTAGGTTAAATAGCAAAGCTTTTTTTTTAAATGCTGCATTTTAGACCTGCAGAGATTTTTAGCTTCAACTTTATGTATCAAGACTTCAGATTGTCCTTACGAATGATCAGATTTTACCTCTAGTGGAACTCATGCTGCTGTCTCTGGGAATTCATGCATGAAGAGCAGAATTTGGTTCTAAATTTCATAATGCATCTCCATCTCCTTCAACATATTGCATGTGGTTGGTGATGAAGCCTGTTACTATTATCCACAAAAATCCCAAAATGAATTATTTTTATAAGAAATATATAGTATGTGAGCATGTAGAGATAAAGATTAAAAATCACTTTGTTAAAGGGTCCTCCTATATCTGATCAAAGAGGGTTTCTTTCTTGCAACAGTTGTTACATGAATTGCTACAGCACTTCAGGAGTTTATCTGGATTGAATTTTGTAGATTTCATTGCCGAAATAAAAACTCTACACCAGGAGTTGGCAACCTACAGCACACTTGCCATGATTGGCGCACGAGCTGATTTCCATTGGTGCACCAGCCTCCCCGCCACATCCAGACGTCGACCCCGTCAAGTAGTGAAATGTCCTGGAAAGCCCTGCCGGACATTTCACTGCTCGATGGGGACCCCAGCTTGCGGAGAAGTGTATCCATGCACTGCCATTACGCCCCCAGCGCGGCACAGCAGTAACAGCCTCCCCGTCCCCCCAGGAGGGACTGTAGGTGGTTCCATCAGAGCTTTGCTGGCAGGCAGCTGGGCCTCACCATACACCCTGGATTTTCCAGGACTGTCCCGATTTTAACTACTCTGTCAAAGTATCCCCATCAAGTAATGAAACGTCTCAGAAAGCCCCACTGGACATTTCACTACTTGATGGAAACACCTGCTTGCGGGGAAGAAGCAACCAGGACTGGGCAAGTCCAAGGCAAAAATTGTCTGAACTACTTCCAGACCTCCATGCTTTGGCCTGGCACCTCAGCCCCGGCAGGAGTTGCACAGAGCCCAGCTGGGGCACTGCGGGATCGTGTGCTGCCACTCTCTCTCCCCTGCCCCTCTCTGGCCTAAGGGAAGGCCCAAACCTTAGTCCTCCTGTGTCCCTTCCCATTGCCAAATGGGGCTGGAGCACCAGAGGAGTGAGGTGTCTTAGTTGGGGGCCACATCAGTGAGGGTTGGGGGTGGGGTTGCAGGAGTTTTTTTGCTTCTCACTTGTGTGGTTCCCAACTGATTTTTCTGTGGGTCAGTGGCCCCCAACCCAAAAAAGTTCCCCCCCCCTGCCATAAATAAAGAGAACATTGAAACTTTTTGTGTTGGACATAAATTAATATTTTACTTTATTTAAAATGACATTGGATAAACTAACATGGGAAAGTTAAAACGCTTAGTGTGTTTAAAAATGAAACCTTTCTCCCTAGCTGCAGCACTAGCAAAATGGCTCGGGCGTAATTATGTAATGAACAATGAGTTTCCATTAGCAACTGGTGGTCTGCAGAAAGGTTTGCATTGAATCAGATAGTCCACAAGGTGCGTGCGTGGTGGAGAGAGCCTTTCCTTCCCCTCTTCCCAGGAGGGTGGCACGGCTTGGGGCCAGAGAGTTAAATCTTGGCATGCCTCTTCAGAGAGGTTGCTGACTGCTACTCTCCACTTAGGGCCTGGCTAGAAAGTCAAAGATGAACGGATGCTTTTCAAATATTTATTTGTAAAGGTATTTTCTGTAAGGGAACATAGTGCGTTCACATGTGATGGACTCCTACAATTCTAGTGAATATTAGTGGTCGTGCTACTTGCTGCTCATGGTGAAAACAGGCCTCATTGTTTTTACATACCGTGCTAAATATGCAGAGACATTTTGTTGCGCTTCTTGCTTTTTTACAATAGATGTGTATGTGACTCTTGGTTTCTCTTTGACAGTTGGGAAGAAACAAGGTGCCATTCAGTCTATACATTTTTGCAGAATAATGTAGTAGTAAATGTTGGGGGGGCTCATTCTCCCCATGTAGAAATAACCCAACTAATGTTAGTGGAAACGTGTGAAGTTTCTGTGGAATCCTTCCATTAAGAGAGCAGTTTTTATCCTAGGAAGAGGTCAAGGATTCTGCAAGCCCAAGTCACCATTTCTCCAAAAGCAAGAGACTTCCACAACACAGGCCTTGCCACTGCCCTGTTGCCTGACCCACACCCCAACTTGGTACACTGCCTAAACATAATGGTGTGTTTATATAAGGGTCATGTTTCCAAGTTGATCCCGAGCTTCTTCGGAGACTCATTTCAGCGTGATGTTCCATAGCATGAACCTTAGAAGCAGTGTCAGCGATCGCAGACTTGGCACGCAATAAATATGATTGTGGATTTTGGGAGGGAAGAATTCCACAGGGATATCTCAGAATATTGTCTGTCTCTGTCCCCAGCCCTCCTAACCTCCTGATCCTACTCAGAGCCACAAGTGCACGCACAGGGAATTCTGTGATGTCATGGTGAAGAATGACATGGCACCTCCTTTCCCTTCTCCATTCCAAATAGAGCATCCTGGACACAGTGCCATCTCTGCTCTTAGAAACAAAATGAGCATGGAATCTTTGAGATTACAGTGGCCAACTTTAAATGGAAGTATCATTCATTAATCTACTGAATGACTGAATAAAGTGGCCTTTTGCACATGCTAACGGTCATCTTAAATCCACGTACCTTCTCTTCATTTTTTTTCTGCCTCACTTTAGCATCAGATTAAAACTTCTCTGTGCTTTGGAGCCAATAATCCAGAGTAACTATGTAGTTTCACTTAATTGTTGCCAAAGCAGTTTTGTGCCATGGGTATGTTTTCATCCTCTTAATTAATTGCTAACCTTTCACTGATTTGATTTCTCAGACAGCGTGAGACCAAAAGTTAAGCAGCAGGAACGGGCATGAATGCTCATTCTTGTGAATCTGTTTTGTAATATAATTGACTTAAATGCTAAACTGCAGCCGTGGAGGCAGAATAGTTTTTAAGCTTACCCAGAATGAATTCTTGAAAGCTGAAAGAAATCCTCCTCAGTGACCTCAAATAGGAAATCGAGGATACCTCTTCCCCTGGCATAAAAAACCTGCTTTGCCTACGTTTAGGCCAGGCTTTTTATTGAGGACTGGTGATATTGCTAAATCAGACTTGTTTGGCTCAGGGTCATTGCTCTTTCCTCTCCTGAAAATGGATCTTCCTGCCTTAGGGTTTGTCTAGACTGGAATTATCTTTGATTTCACCCATTAGTGTACCTACTCAATAGTCTAAATCCCTGGGATAGACAAAGAAATCAAAGACTTTCATGTGGTAACCTCACTACCAGTTCTCTATTTTCTTATGTAACCCCTAATCTGGGTTGAAACCTCATCTTTGTTCCTATCCTGTTTTCTTGGGATGGGGGGGAATCAATTTAAATTTGTGCAAGAAAGCTTGTTTATAGAACTCGTTTTTTATTGCAGTCTGTCCATATGGGTGAAAGGTCTAAGGCCCCTCCCACAGTCAGGATCTGGCCCTCCACACATTGGCCTCTGGACAGGGGCCAGAGGAAATAGTCCCAGAGCTCATCAGGGCACTCAGGCAGTCTGCCTGCCTGCCTGCCATGGTCCCAGACACATCACTCGCAGAAGTGCCATAGCTGGAGGCTGCTAGCAAGTATCTCTCTGTGCACCCTTTGGGTAGAGGAGGGGCAGCAGGTCTTCATGTCTCCACCCGAAGCACCATCCTCACCGCTCCCATTGGCCAGAAACCAGCCAGTGAGAGCTGTGGGGAGATGCGGGGGTGCAGGAAGATCCGCTACTCTCCTTCCTCCAAGGGACGTGCAGAGATACACTTGCCGGCAGCTTTGAGCAGTGAGGGGCCACCATGGTATGCAGGTGGCCCTTGTGTTGCTGACCAGCAGTCACTTATGGTAAGCAAAAATTATTGCCCACCCTTGGTCAAAGGCCTTCCTAGACAACTTTCCACGTCCTTGTTTGTTTACATCCCATTTCTAAAGCATTTCGAAAACGTTTGTCACCCCATTCCCTAAAGTAAGGAAATAATTTGGAGTCTGTGCCATCTACTGGGTATGTGGAGTCTGGCTCCACCTACTGGATCAGTGTTTTACTGGCGCACTCTCCATCTCAAGCTCATGTTGACACTCCTTGTCCTCCTGTCCCTCTTGTGCGGACGCTGCTTTTCTCTCCCCCTTCCCCTCCCCCTCCTCCTCCTAGCTTCTCTTGCTCTAATTGTTGATCTGCCTATGATCTCTGCTGCAGTGCTGCATTCAGTCCAGATGGCAGACGGCTGTTGCCTCTGTCAGCCTCTTCCCTGTTCTCCTTTCGTGTTTCCAAGATTTCCTCTTCCTGCTGGTCTCTGCCAGTGGGCTGAATGTTCTTTCTCTAGTCCTCAGAGCAAGTCGTGACTAGACGTGTCTTTTTTTTTCCTTCAGGGTTGAGTTGCCTTCCTCTGTATATCTCAATTAGCTGGCTTTGTTGAGGTGTCCATAACTCATTTTACCATCTCTCTTTTCTCTCTTCCTTTCCTGAGAAGACAGATTTTTCTCTCTGCTATTTCTTTCTACACTTCTTGCTTTTGCTGCTGTTAGCACTTCACTGGGAATTCCCCAATGTCGTAGCTGCCACTGTATATGTCTGTTTCAGGATTAGCTACATCCTCACCATCCCTCAGCCTTCATCAAAGTTTTGGGCTTCCTGGCCACCTCTCTCAGATGGAGAGGCCTCTCTTTCCTTCCAGGCTTAGGGTGCAGTCCCTCTGTACCTCATTGTGATTTCCCCAGCAGGCCTAGTCCAGCAACCATGGTTGACCTTTCCCCATGGGCTGCAGCAGTGTGTGTGAATTACCAACCAGCTTTCATAATGCAAACTACATTTATTCTTAGGGCAAAAGCATTACAGAGGAAGCATATGGGAACTTTGTTTTCTGTACATTTAAAAAGCATACCAGGACTCGCCCATCTCATGGGGTGCTCATAATAATCCTAACCATTTCCACCCTTTCAGTAAAGGTTGGGGTCTCCTTAGGACCCAAAATCCTGTCTGTGTGTTGAATCAAAAAGAAGATCCTGTGTGATCCTGTTCAGGCTCAGAATTTTATATCTAATGTCCTTCCTTTGAATGTCTCTGAAAAGAACTGTTGGAACCAGTATATGCAGACCACCCCTGGAGGTGGTACTCTTCTGGGGCTGTTTGTTATCCTAGGGATTAAAGCAATTCCCCCTCCACACCCTGGTAACTCTTCTCCACATCCCACAGAATAGCCTACAATCACTGGCCCATGAAGATACATAACTGTTCATAACGTAATAAGGTATGGCTCTAAAGTCATTGCATATAGCTGTAATATCGGTTGCAGTTAGCGCTCAACGTTCAGTGCTAGTAATGGATCCATGAAATAATGTTCATTATTACTACTATTTATTATTTGTATTATCCCATTTTAATCCAGCCCACTGCCCACCCCACTGGGACTCTTTAGCATGGAGCAGCCCTGGCTCTCTGTGCTGAGGGGGAGGCTTCGCGTGCTGCTCCTGCCCCCAGCACAATCTCTCAGCCTCAGAGAGGCACATGGAGCAGCCAGCCACTTTGAGCTTGGTGCTGCAGCAGGCAGGGAGCCTGCTTGAGGGTCCTGCAGGGTTGCTGGCCAGGAGCCACCTCCATAGAAAAGTGCAGCCTTTGACCACTTTCCAAAATCTTGGCGTGGACTCTCATAAAAAAAAAAATTTCCCATCCCTGCCATAGCACCTAAGAGCTGTAAAAACGGTGAAAAAATATGGCATGAGTGTAAAGGCTTACCTAAGGCTTGAGTTGATATGGGCACAATTGTACACCTACCACTGCATTGTTTTGGGACATGAATATATCACGGCTCCCTGATGTCTCAGTGGTGCGGCTATCAGCCAACACTTTCTTCTTGTAGGTATAGATCTTAATTTTTGTGTTTGCTCCTGGAAAGCTTTGTAGCATTCGTGTGTGTGCGCGTACATGCTAAGTGTATTCTTCATTAGGGAGACTCTACTCTACTTTTCCTCACCCCACCCCCAAAATAAAAGGGAGTGGGGGGATTTCTAAGAGGAACTGCCCAATTTTCACAGCTTGGTAGATCCACAATATATTTCAAGGTAAGAAGAAATAACTTTATATATGAATGCAAACAGAAACCTAGTGTTCAGACGTGCCTTTGTGCATCTCTCTCTTATCTGGCTTTTGAAAGCCAAATTTTTGGGTGTAGTTTTTTT